GTGGAAGTCGAGCATAACTTAAAATAGATTTCAAAAAGTACGCGACTACCTACCAGAAAAATAAATAATAATAATAAAAGAGCACGAAAGAATTAACAAGATTCAGAATCGGAACTGCAACTGCAAAGTCACACCAAGCTGCTCCTGATACCAGAAGTTGGCCCTGCACTTGGTAGTATTTGTAGTGTGTGATAAATATCCTTATTTTATTAGGTTGTTTTGCATTTATCACTGTCATATAAATTACAACTTGTTCATAATCACCTGGTAAATCTTAGAACCGAACCAAGTGGTGGGTGTTTGGCCATCTGACTATGGGCTGACTATATAACAATGAGGTAGTGCCCAGTGAGAGCAATTCTTCCATATTTATTATCAGGGGATGAAACCAGGCAGCTTTAATAAAATAGCTCAGACGCTCCATTGCTTTCATGTTTTTTGTTTGTGGGATTAGCACCAACTACAAACGACAACTGTTGGATCTATTTTGTTCCCTCCATATAGGTTGTTACCAATGCTGGGGAAGGCTTGTACATGCTTGTCTCAGCGGAAAATCTTTTAATCCCCTCAATTTCATCTGTTGGTTAGTCCATTTAAACCATGTTTATCACTATAACATTATTGGTCTTGTAATTTTATGTGGTATGTAATCGATCATAATACCTCAATAAACCTGTTGAATCTAATCTTTCAATAGTATATTTGCACCCATCTTACTGAGCTAATAAATCTGTGTTTCTATGATACGACATAAACTCAAATGCCCTCACTGTTCCTAGCATGTACAAATTGCATCAGAGACTTGGTGACTATCTAGCGACACCACTATTCGAGGATGATGTGGTGGCAGAGACTCCTTAACTTATCTAACGCACTTGGCTTTGAAATCTAGCGTTGAACCAAGATGGACGACTGAAACATCATGAATGTACCGGTATCTGAAAAAAAATATTCACCTGTTCAGAATTACAGATTTCTGTAGTTTGTGCAATGTTTCCAAGAATGTATCTAAAAGACTTTTAAACTGCCCCTGCATTTCATTTGTTCCTATACTAAACCCACCAATTCAGCCCTAACTTGGACGCTATCTATCAGTCTATGAACTATGGGATATGGTACCGGTACCGTACCGGTAGTCACGCAGGTCTCCCAGTTCTATCACCGCCCTCTGAGATTCTTCAACCATATAAGTTTAAATATCACATTTCAATGAAAAGTTTTGTATCCTTCTCTTGCTGGGGGAAAGAAAAGTTCTTGGAGAACCAAGTCATAGAAAAGTCATCTCTGAGTGATTCCATTTTTGTATGTTAAATGAGCTTTTAGAACTAAGTTAGATACGTTAACGGCAATGTGAAGGCGGAATAACGTTAATAATAGATCACTTGACAATATGTTATAACTTTAGAAGCACGAAAATACCGCTATCACCAGTGAAATGCCATTCGAAGGCCTTTAAAACGAGCAACGTACCACTCTATCGCCCTACACAATCCTGGATATTTGCAATGTTTGTCTGAGCGACCAAAATCATAACAATAAAGGTCAAAGTTCGGGGAAAGGTCCATAGTTACCGTACGTATTGAGTTTGAGTAGGGCCTAGTCTGGGTAGATAATGATATGTAACGATAATAATAGAAAATGAATTCGTCTTTAGATGATATTAACTAATAACCAAATCGCGTTTACGGGAACCTTGTTTTGCACATCTTGATCGCACGGAATGAAAAGTTGATTTTAATTGATAGTGGTTAAATTTAATATTTTACACCGGTTGCAGTGGCCACACGCTGGTCCTGCATCTAATTAATTCTCAGCGGGTGTGTTTTAGTACACTCGGCACTCTAACACTAATAATGATTTAATGCCGTTTCATATCTATTTTTGTATTTAACCGTCTACTATTAAAGTGTTTGAAGCGTGTCCTATTTTAGCATATCAGTATTTAGATATTACATACATTTGGAACAATTGAAAGCAAAAATATTGTAATATTCTTAGATTTAATTGTCCTGGGAAATGCCTGTTTAGTATCAAATTAAATCCAAGTTAAGGACATTTCCAAATAAATAATACATTTATAGTAATACATTTACAATTTTTCTAAATCCAGCAATCAGGAAAATTCCCACTAGCCTATTTGAATAAGTATGAAAATAGAATAGGATTCGGTATTCTGGATTCGATTTAACTATTCTTGAATAGTAAATTATTCTACATTGCCCATCCCTGGATACCGGGAATATCATCCGCGAAGAAAAAAATGGTGGACTTTATAGTGGAGAAAGCCGTAAACGACCATTAGTTACGTAAAGTCGTAAACCACCCTCAGCGTCGAGGACTATGCCAATTTTCTCGCACATGACTCGGCGCATCGTGCCGAGCATTAAAATAAGGGGGTGAACACCCCCCCTAAAATTTCAAACACCCCCCCTAATTTTGAGGTGCGATTCCACACTGAGGGGTTATAAATCGCAGTCTGCGGGCCAATTACGGCCCGCGTGACCATTTAAAATGGCCCGCCGAACTTGAGTGAAATAATTTAACCCTTCATGTGGTACCTTTTGAGTTTTAGATACCGTCTATTGTTACATCATTATCACAGTTTAAGCACGTTTATTTCGTAACAATTGAATTATTCCGGTATCTTATGTATAGGTATGGGTATAATGATTACACACTGCAGTATTTTAGATATCAGCCGTATTTAAGAAAGCTTAAAGATGTCACAAAACGAAAACTAGGCACTGAAAACAGACGTTTTTAGATGAATGACAGCGTTTTTATTTCTTTATTGAAAAGAATCAAACTTCAACGATTTGTCTTCTTACCAACAAAATATTTCAGTTCTGAAGGAATACAACATTATGATCAGTTGACGAGCGTATTTCAAAATTTAATTCATACAAAAGTCAAACAAACATGTTCAAAAAAATTAGAAATGTGTAACAAAACTAGCCATAAGTAGCCATTCATACAATGACAGATGAGCAAGTAACTTCATTAGTCACTATCATTTGCAAATTATTGTTGAACGTAGTAGTATATATTTATTGAAAGCCGTGCTTGTTATCTATTCCCCGGGAATTCTATCAGCTAAATATTATAATTATTGATTTTATTACATAACAAACTGCGATGCTAGGTGTATCTGAAATCAAGCTTAGAGCCTATTTTGGTGCCTATTTCTCAAATTTTTCTCAGGGCGCTTAAGAACGCCCTGAACCCCAGCCGTGTCGTCCCGCACTTTTCTTCGCTCCCCCCCCCCCTTTTCTGGCCCCACAATTTCATTCTGCTGTGGATTTTGACTCGCCGTCAATCAACTTGGGGGGCTCCCATGTACATCGTCTCTCAAATACATACCATTTTTTTAAGAATACAAATAGCCTAGTTTTATCTCTGATAGCAAATTATTTACCACCCCCTAAATTTTGAAACACCCCCCCTAAAGAGAAAAGCTGGGGAACATACTGTAGCCACCGCACCTCTGATTATCCTGCGTTGATTTGTTTGCAACCCGTGGAGGATATTTATGTGCGAGAGGTTACGTGATCGTAATTGATGGTCGGTTGCAACTCCCCAACCACGCATATGGAACAAATAACTGGGCAACCAATCCCATACCTGACCCGGGACGACCAGCTGTGGTTCGCCATATGATTAAATCATCTTACCGTTCTTCCTTTCCCCCCACAGGATAAATTCTAAATATCGTCAACCGGATTCTAACCCACGCATATGACCTTATACCAGGCCTGCACAACATACGGCCCGCTAGATACTTCTGTACGGCCCGCGGGTGATTTGGAAACACGCCACTTCTCGGGTCTAACAATCAAAGCCGGCATTGTTATGCAAGCGCGCCGTTACTCCGATCATATTCGAGATCGTGAGATTTATGTTTTGCACTGGTTTCAATAAATATCGAACTTTGTGTGAAATTGGTGTGCCCTTTGCGACCCCTAAAATTCGTCGCTCGCCCCCCAGTTTGCGAAACCCTGATTTAGATATCTCAGTATTCAAACTGAATCACGCTTAAAACAATATCGGTATACAATCTCACACCCATTAGTGCATATTAGCAACATAGTAATAACCCCATTATTTTTTACTCACTTATGAAACTGAAGTTTCTTTTTTGGTTCAAATTTAGAACTTAGAAAACAATTCCTTCATTCATGAATGGTGCAAAAATTCTCGTATAAATAAATTGGAGCAGATTTTGTGGAAAAATGTAATTTACCAGTCAAAAAAGTACAACAGAGGAAGATCTATTGCTACTAAACGAATTGTTTTTCTAGCCTACAATGGAAATATCCGATAATGGTACATATGACTAAATAAATTGTCATACATATATTTGAGAGATTTTACAAAACTGTCCCCGAGTAAAAAATTTACCTGCAGTCAGTTTATACCGCAACACGCAATATCTAATTCTATTTAAAAAGAAATATTGAAAATGAAGGGTGGGTTTCAAGGTAGATGAACTACTAAATACATATTTGCCATCTCATATGCAAAAATACTGTACCTTGTTTTTACTCAAGAAAATGAGATTCTTCATATTTTCAAGCTCCCAAGTAATAAAAGTGTTTCATTAAATTTAACTGTTTCACAATATTATTTTGATTTGTAGTTCTTCTTGAGAAATATGTATGTGGCAAAATTTGCGGCCCGTCGGGCCTTCAGATTTATGCTTGCGGCCCTCGTGGTAATTTGAGTTGTGCAGGCCTGCCTTATACTGTGTGTTCCAAAAAGAATGCATGCCAATCCTGATCGATCTCGAGCACCAAATACAATAGGACCCGACCATATAACACAAACACACCCTCCGATAACCATGTGAATCACCAATCGACTTAGAGGATGGTTGCTTATTGCTCACCATTTTTTCCTGACAAACTTTGGGCATGGCTTAGTTTTAGAAGTATCACAATCTCATACCGGTACCAGTCTATCGAGTCCACTCCGCAGAGTTACAAATTCACACAAGTGCGATATTTCAAATCATGTGAATATAGCCTTGAAACGTGGTATTGATCATGCTGAATCACAACAGTAGATACAGTGTTTCATTATATAGAAAATATACGATCATAACATGAATATTTTCGAAAAACATCAGTGATATAAAAGCGAACATCTGGCACAGACTGGACATCGTGAAACTTTAAACCTTGATTACATGCAGGTGTTACCATGTGAGCAACATCCAAGTTTGACGCTTTAATTGAAAATTAATAGTAGCTTCAACTTCATCAGAAAAACTAGTTTTATGGCTTTGAGACCATGAGAAGCATCCAAAATCTTTTTGACCATATATACTATGTTATACATTAATCATGATTTTGGTTCTAATTGATGCAAAAAAAATTACAAATTTAGCTTCAGAGGAATAAAACCTCTGAGGAAGAAAACCCCTGGCTCATGCACTGTATGCTTCTTGTTGGAATGTTTGAGAGTTTATGCTATGAAAGTTTCACCATGGTAGCATCAATTTGTTTCACAGATGGTAAAGCCAGCATAACTTTCCTTCTATAGTCAGCAACTTGTTGAGTCTGTAGTGGATTACGTTCTAAGTATACAGTTTCTAGTTTAGTGCACTGTGCCAAAACATCAAGGTCTTTCCATTCGTGTAACTGATTGTCATTAGCCTGCAAATGCAAAGTTTTGTTGATCATATCCAGAAATATGTTTACTTCTAATCATGGGCATTTTGCTCTTTACGGATTCATAAAAAAGGGGATTACTCAAACCAAAAGTGTGTGTCAATTGCCAAAAGTGAGTATACATGAACATATTATCTCGGATCTTCCATGCAAATCTTAAAGTTAGGTCTGAGTCAGTCGAGGCGTCTAATCCATTTACATCATTTCACACAAGACAATTAAAACAATGAATAAAAAGCAATTCCCAGTTGTAAATACGGGGCCTGTGTGTCAAACTGGCTGCTTTTTCAGAGTCTTTGTCGGGATAAGAGAACTTGATAAATTTATTAAAACAACTGTCTACACATAACAAAATAGGCATGCACAAAAACTACTGTGAAATGAACAAGTCTGCAGATTACCCAAAACTCTTGAAGTTCCTTGAGATGGCTAATATTCTCAATTCTTTTTATTCTGTTTCCTGCGATATCCAAAGTGTCAAGCTTTACCTGCAAATAATGAAACAGTTCAGAAACAGCTCTACAAATTGGTTACATTTCAACTATTGAATTAATAGTAATAGACGGTCTATCTCATTTCCTATGATTATTTAACGAGCTACTTTGTAGAATTAAGTGTTCTATAAATTTTAGTGGTGCTCAAAGCTAGAAGTATTGGTGGTTTTGTAAATTATAGTTCTAAAGCGAAGATCTATTAGTCGTGAACTCGTATTGGAGAAATTACAGTAGAAACTCTACGTACAAAATTAATTCGTTTGAGAAGTAAGTAAGTGTTTATTTCGATTTTCCGTTACAAAAAAACATTGCCACTTCGTAAGCAGAACACATTTTAAGCCGCCACAAAACTAGGACATAATATTTGTATAAATTATAATTCCTGTAACTAATACATATTTATAATTAGATTACTGCCCATAATAAATAGAAAGTTATTCGGAACAATATTTCTACAAAAAGACGTTTCGTAATTGAAAATTTCATATTAAGTGTTTCCTCTAGTCGAGGTTCTAGTGTATTTTATAACATAAAATGAAACATTTATTTGTTTCTTACATTCTTTTCAAGTCCTTGTAGAACTTCAAATCCCATTGTGACTGATGTACAATTGCTCTAAGTTGATGAGTGTTTCAAATCCTTCCATTACAGTAATCCTGTTGCTTTGCAATGCAAGTATTTAATATTGACTAATGCATTCAAAATTAACAATTTTTGACAACTTGTTTTACCTAAGTAAAGTTCTTCCAGATTTTTGAGAAATTCAAGATTTTCTATGTGCTGAGAAATACAAAAAAGTAGAGATTTAGTACGAATGATCAATTTAGGGAATTCATACCCAGGCTGAGAAGCGGGGTTGTCTGACTTTATTCATGTCAAAGCCATTATCCTACTTTCAAATTAAATGTAGTTTTTTGAGATTTCCAGTCAATTTTAATTATGCAGATAGAACATTTCTAGACAGACCACCCTAAATTTATGAGATGGAGTCGCTTTTCTTAATTGAAATAGCAAAGAAGCATTAATTCTGTCATCCCGGAGGGTAGTCAGAGCAATTCCAACTCCACAATCTGCTCAAACATCCCCCAATTCCAATACTATATTCTGGCCTTTATATCATTGAATTGTTAACAAGAGAAAGCATGCAGTAGTCAATGCATTTATGAGTATGTTTACCTGGATTTGGATGTACTAAAAATATTTTAATACACTACTTAGTTACATTCAACCATAAGAAATGTTAATAAAGTGTACAAAAGAATACAGCCCATATACCGGTATTTCATAGAACATTATCTGGAGCAGTGGAAAACACAAAAACTGATGTCATAAAATATTGCTTTTACCTTTACTCTGTTGTCACCCAACTCCAACAGAGTAAGTTCTGTGAGTGAGTTCAAATTTTCTATTTTTGAAATTTTATTTGAAACAAAGTAGAGCTTCTTTAACAGAGTCAAACTTCCAATACATTCCATTTTTCTTATTAAATTGAAGGACAAATCCAAAACCCTGAAAAAGGATTTTGAACATTTAAAATTTGCTGCTGTGAAGATGTTCACCAATTACCATGGTTTCTCAGCAGTTGAGAATATATCTAAAGCGAATATATATATACTGTAATATTATTGAACTTTCTTATATTACTGTGAAACTAGAGGAACAGCGTGAAAATAAGCCATAAAAACAATTCACAACATATTCATATTTGGCAGAAAAATAAACCAAATTGTCAAAGAAAGTTAAATGTATCTTATCACCTAGTAAAGCGTTCAGAATTCAAACTGATTGATCAAAAAATTTGAATATGTAAAATATTCAAATTTCAGGCATTTCCAAATATCTGAGGAATTAGGAATAGAATTGAATATTTTTTTCGAGTCGAATCTTGGATACTTGAAAGATATTTAAAGTAATACAACGTAATTGTATGTGACTCTTTTATTGTGATGGGTCATCCAGACACACAAATTAATGAAAAAATCACTCAATCAGTTCACCGAGTTGTCATATACAGTAGAATACATGTTTCATCAATAACTCGATAGGAAGAAAAGAGTCAAATTTCAGAATTGAATTTCAGAAAAATGGCTTCAATAAAATAATCAGACTAGAAAAACAAAATGGCAGGAATACAAAATCAACACATAAATATATACGAACTCACTCTAGTTTTGTTAAGTCATCTAGATTCTCAATTTTCTTCAATTTATTATCATAAAGATCAAGATTTTTTAATGTTCCCGAAAGACATTGCAATCCTGAAGTGTTCTTTATTGAATTATTCCTCAAGCAAAGTTCAACAACATGGGTAAGGTATTCAAATCCTTTTAAATCCCCGATTCGAAAGTGCTCAAGATTAACATACTGCAAATAAAATAAATAGTGAACACCTAATTACTTTTTGCTATTAATCAGACCACAGGTCAACAAAAACATTGATAGAACCCCTACTATAACATCGAGATAATATCACAGTGATACCTCGGTAGTCAAACATAATTCGTTCCAGATTGCTGTTAGAATACTGATTTGTCAGAGTACCGAATCTTTTTTGGGTAACAAACAACAATGCTGACTATTTTAATTCGTTCTTACATATTCCAAAATACCAGAAATATTAACAAACGAGTCCCAAACAACAATAATTATTTAAATGCGTACATATTAAAGAGTAAATATAATAACAATGAAAATTTTGTGTCAGTTACTGTAAGTGCACAAATTTTCGTCGAATTCGTTTTTATGTGCGATGATGTACCAGTAGTCTACTGTGACTTCATTTTGGGCTTTGTGTCCGTATATTTGAGCATCGCTCCCTTGTTGAATGGTCAAGAGGCGTGTTCGAGCACATTTTTGACTAGAATTTTTTGGCGACTACTGAATTGTTCGAGTATCGAGTCATTTGACTACCAAGGTATCACTGTAATGGGTTTCGTGTGCTCTGAACAATAACAGAGTATGGGTCTTTAGGCATGCTTGTATTGTTTAGCAGTGTAACCGAAGTTAATAAAATTGAAATACATTACAAATAAGACTTACTTCTGCATCTGCCTCCACTGCTTTCCTTATGTCAAAATCATCATTTGTATTGTCTTCTTCCGCTTTCCTCTTCTTCGCCGTCTGTTAAGACATCTTTTATCGGCCTGCAATAACAAGAAATAAAAACCACAATGTATTTTAGAATGACATAACGAAAATGCTTTCATATCTCAGACTCAGAAATCAATTATATCTTAAATTATTCAGGTTTTCAGCAAAACAAACAAACATGCAATGTTAACTAGCATGTATAATTACCATCCTAACAGGGCAATTTGTAGGTTCTTCGTTTTTGAATTCTCTGTTCACAATTTAGCTGAACTACGTACAGTCAAAATGCAATAAAATAGGCGGGAAAACTTTGAAGATATGTAATATATATCATTAACAAGAACCAAAGATGCAAGAACTGGAGAGGACATGTCATACTAAAACTAAGTTTTTTTATCAATGCAGCCCACCAATGCCAGAAATAATTGTACGTAGAGTTGGAAAAAATATCCATTACATTTCATTCCACTTCAAAGTTCAAAAATTGTATTTCACCCTCACCGTCTTGCATTTCTATCTGTTGTCTTCAACAAGTTGATTACCCAGCTGAACTATCATAAGCATTAGAACTAGTTGTTCATCTTAAAAATGAAAACAGTGTTGATGAAATGTAGCAATAGCAGCATGGTGCAGGAGAAATGCTGATAACCAATGCAAATATAAAGCTGTAGTAAACTGTCACAAAGTGGTATGAATCCACTAACAGAATACACATTTTTCGTAGGTTGTTTTCCTGATTATAGAAAATAAGTCATTCAAACCAAGAGAAACAAACAATTTAGCAGATCCACAAACACAAAAGCAGGGAAGAAGAATCAACAATAAGGTACATACGTGTTACTTCAAACACCACATATTTATTTTGCAAGATGCAAATTTTACATCAAAATCATGTCGACTAATAGCATCAGGTGTTACAATTTAAAATTTGCATCAATTGCACCATACATCACAAATTACACAAAACTTTATCGTATGGTACAGAAAAATTTTGATATCATTGGATTATTCAGTAGTATATTTTTCACCTTTTCAATTTAAATCGATAAAAAACCAAACAATAATCATGTTATGTATGGCATTTTGATTTGACATTTTTGCAACAAAGTTCTTATAAGTCAAAAAGATAACTTTAACGATGACGCCATCAAATACTAGTTGACCTCAAAGTCAAACTATCCATATGGTTGTGTAACTTCCACAAGCCAAACTGCACTACATATCACTTGGTGATCAACAAAAGGTTTCCATCAGCTATCCATTGTATTTGACCAACATTCGATAATCAGAAGAAACTGCATTAGCTATTGCATCAAGTTCTTCATCAGTTACAGTATATGTATTTCTTTCATGATAACACTTTGTTTATAAGCAACATAGGCCCCAAAAAGTGATATGAAATCCAAGGACTAAAAGGAATAACAGATTTTGTTGATCGCAATTTTCCGCTCCAAAATCTATAGGCTTCTATCTATTTTTCCATCTTAGTGCTGGTATATGCAAATTAGTGTACCTGAAATGAAAAGAATTTAACAAAACTGTTGAAAAATCAGAGAATTGATTTCGATAGAGACACTGAAATGATGTTAGGCTGTCCATATGAATATTTCATGCTCTGAAATCATAGTCTGCAATTTTTAGTTGGTCAACCCATGAAGAATACTAATCAAATAACACCTAGTTCTCCCCTGAACTGACTTAGCCTGCAGGGCAGCAAATTTGAACAATATTATTCATAATTCCGCTGTAAAACATAACTAATTTAACCAATTCATCAATTACAGTCAAATTTTTGAATATAATTGTTCTTACCAAATTATTCACTAATCCATAGACTGATATAATGCATGCCTATTTCTTCAATAAAAAAATCTTACCGATCAGCAATAACAGCATTGCTGCCTAAGGAAGTTGCAATTGGAAGAATAGTTGATGACACAGCCTGAGAAAACCTCCTCGAATTGTAGTACATGTCGTGCAAAAAATCAGGATCTACATATGCAGTGTAATTTAATGATAATGTTGTCAAATAATCATGATTAATGCCTCCGTTAGTTTCACACCCATAAATTGGTTTGAATAATGTGTCAGCAAACTTTATGACAGTAGCGTGTGGGCCACATTAATTTCCGCCTATAAACAATGGCACATTAAAGTTAAATTTATAAATCGCCTATTTCTGTGTTAGTTACAACAGCTGTAGGTATGTTCGATGGGTAACGATCTACTACTGGCAGTTACTTTTGCTGATTCAAAAATCAGATTTTCTAAATCCAAAAAAATTTTAATTTCAGAAATTTGTATATAAGATATACCTGAAAACATTGGAGACTGAACAAGAAGTTTATCTAGTGCAAAATGTGATCCAATGGCAGTGATCGAAACAGACACCGCTGTTACTATTACTCCTTCGTACAAGACCAATGCTCGCTTGAGGGCAACATTCATAATAATAGCAGATGCAGTGGCCACGGCACTTCTGATGTTCACATTATCAAACTGCAGCAGATTTCTAAAAAAGAACAACAATAGCATAACGGCAACTTGGCATGATAATTTTTAAATCCAGTGCGAAAAGCACCGTATTTTTCTTGTCATTGACAATTTTTCATCTTGGAATTTCCATTTAAATTTTATTTCCATAAGAGATTGTTGTGAAAAACCTTGATTATTACAACTGACTAAAATAAATTACATTAAAATTATAAGTCAAGTATCTCTAGCATCGTTGCTTTACAGATTCTATAATACCCCTTCAAAATGTAGTAGATGACATACACGACATACAATGAAACTAAAACAGTGCACCGAAAGTGCAATTCACGACGACGTAATGCGTTTAATGAACTATAATGTATGGTCGCTCACATCAAAATTCCACAGTTACGCGTAGCCCGTCTCTCTTTGCCTGACGGTGTTCGGTGAATATTTTGAAAGTCCTATTTCAAACATCAACCATTAATCCGTAGTCAGCGGGTACCCGCATTTAGAAATAAAACGTGAAAAATCGGTAAAATTAATTTTTTAAATGGGAACTATAACTCCCAGATGTCAGTAGCGTTATAATGGTTTATATGTACTTGCTCGCATGTAGCGCCGATCAAAAGTATGAAATGTGAAACTATTACTTGGAATTTATTGTTAATGGAGTCGATTTTTTTTATTTCCATTAAATGATTATTTACATGCGCCATGATTAGTGGCGGGTAGAATCGTATTTTTTAATCGAGTTATTCGAATATTTTTAACGAACATCAAATAATGAGTATTGTCATTCTAAACAACATTAATTGGGAAGTCAGCCGCCGAAACGATCGACGTCACAGTAAATTTTTTTTTTTGAATTTACTAGATAACTGAAAACTCCGTAAGAGCCACGTTTTTTTATTTCATAATATTTTCATAATCGAAGGCCTGACTAAATTTTTTGTCACCGCGATCGTTTTGGCGGCCGACATCCCAATTAATGCTGTTAAACTATATGCAAAGGCATTTAGAGCAAGGAAAGGTAGTTAGTTTCACGCAACCTCAACTGTTAGTTAAACTATATTAAAGTACTTTTTTATTCACTAGCAAATATTTATCCTCACGGCGGATATCATAGTTTGGATTTTATATATTGAACATGATTGTGAGTTCACATCGACGAAGATGTTAAAGACAACTATTAAGGGGTGCAATAGTGCATTCACAACACAAATTAATTTAATTCTGATTTTTATCTTCTGTGTAGGATTTGTATCACAGTTTGTAAATTAAGGTCCCAATTTTAAGCGAACATTATTATCATTACTGACCCCGGGATGCAAAATTTGTGAAGCGAATAGTTGACATTTCTATGCTTTTAATTTTAGACTGTGTCCGTGTTACTTTCGTATTAAATAATAATTGAAAAACTCTGCAAATTGGTATTCTCTTGAATACTCAAGAGTTGAATATTCACGTTGAAACTCAGCTTTGAATTAAAACCCTCTTTTTTTTTTTTGATACTAAACACATGAATAAATCGGCAATAATTGGCATTTCTACATGGTCAAAATAATATTTTTTCTAATATCTCGAGAAATTTACATGAAATACATTATTTACCTGTATTACATAAAATTAATGTTAATAAATTCTATTTTGCTTTTCAATGCGCTGTGATTTGTATTAATAAAAGTGATTGAGTCAGGAAAAGAAAGTTCTTAAATTAGCTTATAACCTTTTTGTCCTTTTGATCGGGCGGTAAAATTCGTTTCATGTCTGTTTCATGGAGAGAAAGGTGAATACGCTTTCCGAAATTCGGATATAAAAGATAATATATCGTGAAGGCAAAAAAAAGTCTGGCTAATTGCGCTACGGTGATAACGCACAGAATTATATCGTTTTGACAGCAAAACCATGATACGCAACCGTAAAACGACACTGTTGCTTTTTTGTAGATGAAATTTCACTTTTTTCACATCAGGAATTTTTCACAAACGGTAGGGTTACGACACATGTATATAATGTGTAAATATACACATCCTAGCACAAAATGATTGGGAACATTTGTTTTTATGTGTAGGAATTTTCTGCGATTCTGTCAGCTCTAATTTCGTGATTTTCTGCTAATTTCACAGAGGTTCTTGAATCACTTTAGTAGCCTTTGGTACTGTACTGACGTAATATTAAAAATACTGTAAAAGGCTGTAAGTACAGAAGCAATATTTCTGCATTTCATGCAGTCATGGCTGCATTCCTATCGATTTCAATGCAGGTACCGGTACCGGTATAATAAATCAGACATAATTCCGAGTAAATGGCATCAGTTTTCCATACCTTTCTTTTTGAGCTAGCTGTGACACTTTACTGGCCAAGAGGTCATAGTATGTAGTTGGATTTGAAGAACTGGAATGATCTTTTTTTTCCACCATTGCATACCGGTACCGGTAGGTACGGTATCCTTTTCACCCGACAACACACGTTTACTACCAGACTATTATCTGATTATACAGAGCTAGGCCTATAATAGCTCTTTTAAGACCAGCAGCGTCCTAAAGTTAATATAAGACAATATCGGTAAAGCATTCAATAGACAGATAGGCCTACTATTTATTCCTACATTAAGTAGGCCTATCCTATTTATTCGTATCCTATTTAGGCTATTCCTACATTAAGTCAACTGTTGTGTTTTTGCATTACGGTACCTTTCTTGATATTTTAATATCGATTGTTTGTTTATACAAAGTTTACAATGTATTGCATTTTTTGTTGTTTAAACCAAATTCTAATTTGTTTTGATGACCCAACCCATGCTTCTGATTACATTGCACTAGTGTGTGTATAGTAGAATAGAACTCCACCCATATTTGCTTATTTAAAATCCAACTTGATATGTTCAACTTATATTCATTCAATAAAACAAGTTACCCAAATAGCAGAATAATGGGTACCGGTACCGGTACCGTAGCTTGTCTGACCTGCTTTCCCACTTTTTTTCGTTTCGATCATTTTATATTTTGCAGTATAATTTCAATTTGTGCAAAATCCCATTATTTAAAAGAATGCTTCCATAATTGAAAATAGTAAATTCATGTAAATATTGTACATAGTATAAATCGTGAGAGACATTGATATATTGGCACGAACCTGTTATTTTTATGCTTATTTAATATAATTGGGTGGCAACTGACTCTGATGACCCCCAAAGGTCGTATCGTTGCCCCCCATTCATATACCGAAAACTATTTTTTTTGATATTTGTTTATGTGTGCATAAATTGTTTTCTTGGTTTGACAAAATGAAATAAACTCTCTCTCTCTACTAGAGAAGCGGCACCAACCTTTTTTTCGAGCAACCTATTGGACCTTTCACCTCCTGGAAATTTTCCCCATGGACCTTTGACCCCCGAAAAATTCTCTTTTGTACTTTACAAAATTTTCGGGGCTATTTTAAAAGTGGTTTTGCGAGTTGGCGCCTGTAGAATGGAGTATGTGTTTCAAACCATCATTATTATTCATCGCATACAACAGTCTCTTTTTTAAAAATACCGGTAACGGTAAAGAATTTTAGCCCAGTCTATCACAGCTATTTCTACACTAATTTTTTATTACTGCAATTGAATTAAAACTCCTAGAAAGACAGAGTGACATTGAATTATCTGATTATATTTAAGTTTCCGAAACACAACTGAAAACTAACGAATGGAATTCAAAAACGCGAAAACGAGGTAATGTTTACGACCACGCTTGAAAATCTGTCTGAGTGAGAAAAGTGTCTGAGCGGATGCAAAAAGGGAGCATTGTTACGTCACTTTTTTACATCTTGCTGATTGGCCAATGTCACGAAGTAAACAAGAAAGTTGATGCTCGGGAAAAAAATCATTGCTTCAAATTCACTCCATCTTGTTTGCTACCAGCAGGTTTACCCGATAACAGCAGCATGCTGCCAAGTTTTCAAGTCTTGATACTTTCCATATTTGCATTTATGATTTAATTAAGTAACAGTTCAATATGAAATAAAGAAGTAACAATAAAATTACTGGAAACATTGAAATACCAGAAAATAAAATCAATGATTTCCACGTTCTGTAAAAACAGGCAACAAAAGAGGATTTTTACAGGCCGCGCCCGTACGTTGTAAAACACTGCAATAGTCAACAACCGTAAATATACATAAGCATAGAAGCAATCATGGATAAAGTCTGTTGTTTATTTTCCTTGTTCAATCAATCAATCAAATCGTTTTTTATTAACCATCTCGGCAGAGCATAACAAAAATGAAAACAAGTAAGATCACAAAAATATTTTTACCGGATGGCAGGATAACAGCGAAATAACCATTCGGTCTACTTGTCAGCGGCAACCTTAAAATAGCTTAAAACGTAAATACAAAATTTGCACAGCGCGAAACGTTTTTATGCAAGAACAGCATCGCCCCAAGATGACGCTGCAAAGACACAAGTCTTTGAATTTGAGAATTCTTAGTTTAGCAAACAAAGGGGTACAACTAGAACGAGGTGGAGAATTAGATAATACTGTATTCTTACAGCTTTATTTTGTAGAACTTCTATTCTTTTTGACAATTTATTAGTAACTGAGTATCCCCATGCCACCAAACTATACTAAATATGAGATTGAAAGGGGGCAAAGTATATCCTAAGCAGAACTCGAGAGGGGAGAAGTTCACGAACTTTACTTAAAATTCCTACAGCAAGTGATAACTTTCTTAACAAATCTGAAATATGTTTATTCCAGTTTAGGTTTTCATAAATATATATGCCTAGGTATTGTTGGAATAACTTGGCATTTAACCACCCGTATATCATTCATTGTCAAGAAAATTAACGAAATCATGAAATCTAAAACCCGTTTTCGTGAATTTTTTGTTGTAGCTGAATTCGGGGGACATCATGACAACAGGCAAGAGAAGCACGGTCGCCTCTTTTAGTTTATGACAGGGGTTCTTAAAGGGGACTCCGGCCTTCTTGGATGCCACGGATCGGTTATCTGTGAGCACGAACAAACAGAAGGAAATGCGAATATAGAAGACTTGCACGGGTCACGTGACTTTGTTTACTGGACGGCAAAAAAAAAACGTCCATTTGGCTCCTGTCAGTTGCAAGTCGGATTATAAGTTTCCGTTTTGTTTGGCTGTTGAAAATGGTTATTTCGTATTGTTCCGTTGGCTGTACGTATAGTATAGATCACTATAGACAACGAAATGGATCTTCAGTTATATTCCACTGTTTTCAAAAGATCCGGAACGTCGCGCAATGTGGATATCATCTATTGGCAGGATTGCTTGGTGTCAAGTCCAAAAGTCATCTCGCTTGTGTTTCACTGTTTGCGGACAGCACTACGTTGATGGTGAGTGATAATGTGCCGTCATCAATTTTTTTACATATAGAGGACTTCCACGGGTCACGTGACCTTGTTCACTGGACGGCAATAAAACGAAAACGTCCATTTGGCTCCTGTCAGTTGCAAGTCGGATTATACGTTTCCGTTTTGTTTGGCTGTTGAAAATGGTTATTTCGTATTGTTCCGCTGGCTGTACGTATAGTATAGACAACGAAATGGATCTTCAGTTATATTCCACTGTTTTCAAAAGATCCGGAACGTCGCGCAATGTGGATATCATCTATTCATTCATTATTCATTCAATATATTCATTATTGCTGTTTTGATTAAGATGATAGTTGAATAAATAGAAATATAATATAGATAACGCAACTGGTTTATGGATGTAACCTCTACAATTTGTGAAGAGTATTAATAATTGTGCAGTGGGTGAACGAAGAGATGAACACGCCAAACAAGTCCAGTGTTCCTCCTGTACCACCAAAGCGCAAAAGTCCAACCGACCGACAGATGCGTTCAACTGCTACAATGACTTCAACAATTGAAGTTGATGACATCACTAATCTGGTATCTGTACTGGAAGGTACAGTTTTGAAAACCCTTCGTCTTGAGATTCCTGCCATCATTGAGCAACATCTCGTTAAATCTAGCTTCAATGTGACCCAGGACACCACCAATACCTTGAATTTGGAGGAGTCAATAACATCACTGACGGAGTCTATGAATGAGATCAAACACGAATTATCATCTTTCCGTGAGATCAAGAACGAGATACACGAAATCAAAAAGAGTCAGGATTTTGTGTCAAAAAAATTTGATGAGCTCAGATCGAACCAAGACGAGCTCAATAAGAAAGCAACGAAAACTAAAAAAAGAGTAGCGGAGCTGGAACAACTTGTGGAAGAACTAGAGGAGGAAGTTGACATACTCACAGAAAGGCAGCAAGATCAAGAGCGTCGCTCCAGGTTGGACAATTTGGAATTTCATAACATACCCTACACTAACGGGGAAGACTGTGAAAACCTAATTTCTAAAATTTGTAAGAAAATTGAAGTTCCTTTGCAATCCATTGATGTATCGAATTGCCACAGAATGTCGAAAAACAATAAAAAAAAGGCCATCTCCAATTATTGCCAAGTTTGTCAACAGGAAAACGAGAAACCGAATACTAATGAATCGTCGTAAGCTGACATCTCTCGACATCTCTACAATATTTTCGAACTTTCCCAGAACCACCAAAGTATTCGTTGTAGAAAACCTCACAGACACAAACAAAGATTTGTTCTACAAAGCCAGGGAACTGAAACAAGAGTGCGGTTATAAATTCCTGTGGACCAACAATGGTAAAGTCCTCATAAAAAAAAACTCTAATACGGCTACCATCCCTATCATCACTGAAGACGACCTGCTCTCTATAAAGTAGGTCATTGTATTATAGTTATTTCTTATTAATTGATATTCTTATTAATTATTCATTCTGGTTCCATTTCTTATATTTCCATATACGTAAATGCCGAATCATTGTGATTATTTGTTAGATTATAGTGATAATGTTTCTAATAGTTTAAAATACCTAAATTCAAATAGTGGTTGTGATTGCAGCAACATTGAAGTAACTGATCTGAAAGATATCCAAACTAATTCGGGCTTGACAATTATCCACACTAATATTCGGTCAATTAGAAAAAATATTGATCAACTAACTACGCTATTGTCTAATTTATCTCCCTCCCCCCATATAATGGCAGTGAGCGAAACCAAATTATATAGTAATAATTTTGATAATATAAGCATCGACGGTTATAGATTCGTACACACACCGTCTGCCTCCAAGGCAGGCGGAGTGGGTGCTTTCATCAGAAATGATATCAAATTTACAAAGTCTACTGAATATCATTTAAATTATATTAACTGTGAGGATATATGGCTCGATATAGACTTGGAAAACATATCCAAAAGGTTGACTATTGGCATTATATATAAACACCCAAGAAACGATATTCCTGCTTTCACAAACATATTAGAAAACTGCCTCACCAAATTGACAAAAAAACATTTTATAATTGTGGGAGATCTCAACATAAATCTACTTGCAACAAGACCTTGTCCCCAAATCACCAATTATATTAATATGCTTGTTGCTCACAACACTATTTCTCTTATTACAAAGCCTACAAGGGTTACCAGAACCTCAAGGACACTCATAGATCATATATA